TAAAAATGAACCGTGGATCGAGGAGGGACGCAGGACGAGCTCGATGAACACGTTGGTTGGAATTCATCGAGGGTGTTTCGAATATCAAGCGAATACTCGGAAGAAGATTCTTGTTTAAGGAACAAATGACAATGCTATGTGAAAAGGAATGAGATTGATTAGATGTGCTGTTTGGATTTCCAAGGTTTGAATAGCTCGGAAAAGATTTCTCGAAAGGATGAGGAAGATCCTTGAGCGAAGTTATCTACGGCGAAGAAGTTTCTTAAACGTGATACATGGTAGAAGAAATAGATTGAATTCTGAAAATATTTCACGTATTTCGGAGAGAGTACTCGAAGAGAGCGAAGAAAATTTTTATTCACGATAGAAGAAACAAGTTTGATAGATGTCGTTAGAGTTTCGGAGGTATTCGAAGGAACGATGAAGATTGTCATTCGTGTAAACAATCTTTTCGAATTTTTTATTCCATTGCACCGAGAAAAACGAGTGAACACAAGACGAAGCTTCGAATCTCTGCAATGATCGATGAAAATGAAGTTCGTGAGAAACCTCTGATTTTTTATTTAAAAAAAAAAAAAGAGACACCGTGTTTCTAAGTGAGCGTGAACGGATGAAGAAAAAATGAAGTTAACGAACGATGCAATGCAAACGATGCAGAGGTTTGAAAAAAGAGAAAGAAGGATACCAACGGAGGAGGAAAGCTAAAGGGGGGAAAAAAAAACGATAATGAGCAATCTCATGGTGTCTATATCTCCGACATAGGTCCAACTGCGAAGCAATGTTCTCTGTGATGATGTTCGCGAGGCGAACTGAAATTAAAAAAACTAAAGATAAATTTTTTTCGCGTGTGCTTTTAAAATGAATCCGTTTCACGGATATTAACGAAGAAACTTCACTTTCTGTTTTTTTTTTTTTTTTTTTTTCAACAAAATGCAAAGCGGAAGATTTAACGAAATGCGAGTAACGCGTGTATATTTAAACTTGATTTCGTTCGACGATGGACGAGCAAAGAATTCGAACGAATCACGCGTTTCGACACTTTTAAACAAATTGTTTATCCGAACACTGCCTCAGTCAGGTGAATGATCGAAGTTCGAAAGTCATTCTAATCCTTCCAATTTACTAACGGTCTGTACATGCTGATTTTTCCTCCTGACTTGTCGCGACGAACTGAGAGAAGAAAAAAACAAAAAAACTGCCATATTTTCGTACACCTTCGAGAACACTCTTCTAACCCCGGTGCGATCTTACAGTCATTTTCCACTCAATTGTGCTTCTTTCTCAAATTTTTTAAACATAGGAAATTTCTTGAAATTATGACAAAACACGAGTGAATCGTTGCAAAATCATATGATATCTACAATTTCTCTTTTCAATTTTATAACAGAACTTCTGCTAAAACATTAACCTGTTAATCAAAGTTAATCATTTAAATAAATTCTTTTACGTATATAACTTTATTTTTGTTATAAATGAATTATCTATAATACACGGAGTATTTTAATACGACTTGCGTAGTCTTCATCAGGAAGAAAACGTATTAACTTTTTTAATTTCATAGAAATAGAAGTTTTTAATTAAAGGACGATAAAGTTAACAGGTTGAGGATTATTTGTTTTTATCTATCGAGAAAATAATAAAATTGGGATATATGTATTTATGAACTGTATGAGCGCAATGAGCGTTGAGAAGCTTTACAGAAGTAAACGCACAAAAGACGACAGCCCTAAATGAGATTGTTTTATTCGCGCTTCTACGAAGCCCATTTTTGTAAAATCGATCGAAGAATAAGCTAGATCGTCCGGATTCCCGTAATGAAGCAATTAACTAGACATTCAACTCGTAACTGCTCGAGATAATTAAGGGATCGTATAGAGAAGTTTCAGAAACTTCTCTAATATGTTGTACGATTTAGAAATTAAACGAAAATGTTCGCAATTTTTTTTGTTTATTTCTGAACTTTTATTGAATCACACACAGTCTTTTGATTATTCTCAGCATCGTGAATTCTAGTAATAGTTGATTTTCTTTATCCTGCTATGTTTGGATCATTTTCGATCAGTGACTCGTAGAATCCATCGACTTTCTCTAATTTGATTACGAAATCATTAGCTACGTTACAGCATATTATCTGGTATTTTTTCGTCTTTCAAAGTAATTGTTTGAAGTCTTTCCTTTTTTAACTTTTTGATTAAAATTATATTGTACACGCGAGCCTTTCAGAAGCAAAACCGATCAACTCCCATAACGTTAATTTTATTCTTAATTTTATTCAACAGAGGAAATTATATAGTAAATTTATAACAATAAATTCTATAGTAAATTTTTAACAATAACGTTTATAATCTAATTTCAATTTATGGCATTGCTCAACGTCGCTTCTGATTTAAATTGGATGACAAAAAAAGAAAAAAACAAAGAGGACACGAAGAAAATGCTAAAAGTCCAATTTCCTTTAGTTTCGATGTGACAGACAGATTTTAACCAAATTAAAAATTACGGTAAAGGTGAAATAATTAAAGATAAATAGAGATGTTTTAAGGACTGAAAAGAAGATATGATAATTCAGTTGCGAGCGTTCTGCTGAATTAATTATCCCGAATTAACAGAGCCAATTACAACCACAATTCCTTGCTACTTTTTGTTTTTTCTTAACACTCTTCCCTCCCCCCTTTTTTTTATGCGTGTATTTACATGGGAACGTCGCACAAGAAGGCGTATGTGTGTTTGTGGATGACTCGCTTTACAACTTGAATGATTTATCAACGAGACACGTGTGCGAGAAGTTCGAATAATGTCTAATATTACTACACGCGATTGACCTCAATCGCGATCGTTCCAAGTCGAACAATTGCAGACGATTATACATAGATTACGAATTGACTGCCATAAAAAGAATTTAAGCAAAGGGGGTCACGAAAACAGTTTGTAAGGCATTCGTACGATCATACCTCGAGGAAAGTACGAGGAGAGATTCTTATGTCATCTGCGGTGTTCAGCTCACCAGAGTGTTCGAGCACACAGAAAAATCTTTAAGAATCATGTGTCTTTGGCGAAGTATGTATTTTGAAATTTCAATAGCACCGTGATAGAAGCCGATTATCATGATTATGGTGGTAAAATTTAAAAGAATACTGAAGATATATATACAGAAGCTGTACTTAACATAGATCGCGAAAGTATTTGGACAATCGTGCATTTTGTTGATAAATCGTAATGTTCAATCGTAAACAATACTAATCACGCAGTATATACGAATCTTTTATTAACACGTTCGAGACGAACGTGTATCTTTTATGTTCTAGTTTGTGTAGATTATAGTTTTTTTACGTGTATTTTTTATATTAATAAAAACCGGCTAAACAAATATTGTAAGTGTCGGTCCTGTGGGGCCGACGCCAGTTAAACGACGAATAATGAAGTGTCAGTCCGCAGGGACTGACACCGTTTCGAACGTGTTAAATACATGCTTGCAGTAAATGAACCATTCAGAAATCACATCAACCACAAAATCCATAAATCGAAAATATCTGAATATTTGTAAATATTCGCATTTTTTTCATTAACGGCATGTCCCGCTTGTTATTTGAATTTATAAGCGGAATCACGAAAGGAAGATACCGCGTGTTTGATACAAATGATTCATGTACAATTCTACGCACGACAGGACTTTTTCAAAATAATTCATTGCATCTTTTCCGCGAGGCGAGGAAAATTATTGACTGGTCCATCTTTCTTAAGTGAATACGATTTAATATGAATTTACAAATCGACAGGGAAATATATAGTGTACAGTGGCTCACGAAAGTATTTGAACATCTTACAGAGAGAACTTTTAATTGTAAACAAATTTCGTATATATCGTATACATGCAGAATAAATGAAAACTTTAAAGAAATTGAAGTTTTAAAAAAAGAGTGTACCGATTACATTCGTCAAATTTGAGATCGAAAATATTCACAAAAGTTACTAGATACTTAATGCGATATAGGATTTTGCAGAATCTAACCTAAACCTGAATATTGACGATTGTTAACAAAAGAATAATACACAATATATTCATAAAGGATCTCTACAAGTATTCGAATACTTTCGTAAACGACTATATATATATATATACACACATCTAGAGGAAAATATCTTCAGTCTTCTCATTTCGAAGCGGTTATTTCTGTTAAAGAATTTAATACTTGAAAATATCAAACGTTTTGTTTTTGTAGGAAAAGAAGTATTAGATACCTTATATATGAGGAAGCTGTTGTGCAATTTACAAGTTCGAAATACGGAAAGTGTGGAAAATACTCGAAAACTATTACATGTGAGGAAGCTCTACTGCAGAATCTAGTTTTATTTATAATAACGTTGTCGCGTTGATCTCTGCCTTTTAACTTTAACCGGTTCAATTAAAAAGTTCGAATAAAAAGCAGGAGACGGAAAGAATTTTATATATGAATGAAGCGTGGAAGGATGTTAGAGAAATTTATCGTACAGTGTCAATTATTATTATTACCATTATAATCACTAACAATGTTATTATCGTTAAAATCGTAATCGCGTTTCTGGTTGCGATTGGAACACGTTACGATGAATTTTCTCTCATTAAGTCTTACAAAGTCGCGGCGCCGTCATTATTTATTTTTTATACTTTTATACATACTGTTTATACCTATTCGAACATCACTATATGTTATCAATAAAAATTTCTTTTCTCCAATTTCTGCTATATTTAACGTGTTTCGTTCTTTCCTCTTTGATTAAATCGCAGATATTTATGCAACTTCACGTTGTTATCAGAACAATTGATAGATAAGATCATTGACTAATTTGCATAGACCAGACATCAAATGGAGTTTCGTGTCTCAAGGTCTGAAATACCGACTAGGAAAAAAATCACTGGTTTTTTAGCATCCCTACGCTTAAACAACGGTAAATTAGAGAACTACGTCAAACAAAATGATACAAGTTGATTCAAGAAAATGATATCCTTTACAGTGTTGTCAATTGTATATCCATTGACTGATTTTACGTTCAATTTAAAGACAGAAGGAAAAAGGAAAAATATAGTTGGTTCGGTCCGTTCGACAGTGTCAGTTAAAAGAAATTAATAGTTCACGTGTACTTTACATTCACGTTCAATTTCAATAAAGAATAATGAAGGCCACCAATAGCGCTGTAGTGCAATATTTGCCTAAGTCGATATGACAGGATGTGACACGGAAATGATAAGGGGGTTATATGACCCTCCAAAACCTGAGACACGAAAAAGCATAGAATCTGTGTTTGTCTGATGTCCAGTCTATGCTAGTTAGTCAATGGTAAGACCTTAAGCAGCAAATTGTTTTATCCTTGTCCTATGTTCATCCTTTGCATTTTCAAAATTTCTATAAATACGTGAAAGTTCGCTAGTTTAATTATAAACTTTGATGAAATGGTATCTCTAACTTTTTTATAAATCAATTCCATCGAGTATTTCCCTAATTCCAAATGACTCCAGTGTGTCATTTGACAATCGAAAAACAGTGTATTATTGCAGAGATGATTTCATAATGCAATATATAGGCGGCGATGATATTTTTCGAAGGCTATGTTCCCAGTCTCGTCCCCTTTTCTACACTACATTGCGTTTTATTTAAATTAGAAAATGAATTATGAAAATCGTAAAAGTAACAGTAAAATTTAGAAACGTGGAAATTTATGGGAACAAGAATGACAACATTTGAAAATTTACTTCGTTAAACAAGTAAATCTTACTTGATTCGACTTCTTGATTAAAGTAAATTTTGAAGTAACACAAATCACTTACACTAAAACAAGATACAAAAGTTGTACAAAAGAAATTGAAAATACGATATTTCAATAAGCGGACATTACAATAAAAAACCGCGCACTTCAACAGGTTTACCAACATAAAAATGCAAATTTATCATGTCCATGGTTGACAGTGTTGACAACATAATATATGCAATTGTCTCATATTTTACATCAGGTAACGATCGCATGTATTATAAATTTTCAATAAAGAATCATATATTTTAAATTCTCAAATATTCTATTGCTACTATGAAACTACGCTAGACTAAAGAGGAATTAATAAAATTATTAAACATGGACAATATTTTAACTTTGAGGTTTAAAAATATAACCTAGTCATGGATTATTTAGGTGAAGTAATAGCTCTCGGAATTGACAGTATAATTTTTGGTATTTGCATGAAACAATACTTTCACTGCAAAAATGCAATTACAGCAGTTAAGGTAAATTATATGTATTGTTATTATATATTTATTTATAAAATTATTTTATTATTTGATAAAAATTGCATAAAATATTAAATATTAAATGTTTGTGTAGTGATTTAAATGTTATCTCAAAGTAAATTATATTAACGTGTTTAATGTTTAGAAATATTTCAAAATGTTTAGTTTCTCTACAGGGTGCCGAATTTCATGAAGTTGGGCCACAATTGGGAGAGCTTATCGATAAAAGTTCCAATAATAAGATAGACTATATAGCTATTAGGGGTATTGTAAAACCCTTAGGAAAACCATTGAATAGCATTAATAATAAAAAATTAACTGGTGTTGTACAAAAGCTCAAAATCAAAGAACATGTTGTAGCTAGAACTACTGCTGGTTTCTGGTGATTCAACTTTTGTTTTAAATATGTTAAACACAATCATTATCTGGTGAGAAACATGTTTAAAACTATTTTTATTTCTACATAGGTCAGATCAGGAGCGTATTGTTCATAAAGTTTATAATACTGTACCATTCTCTTTACAACATGGAAGTTATTCTATAGAAGTATTGGAACCATTGTCAGCAGATATTTTAGACTTGGATGTGGTATCTAATACTTTTGAACCAACAGTACCATCCTTTGCAGACCATTTATGGGGTTTTTTCACAGGTAAGAAACAACTACTTGAAGTTTTATAGTAATATACTATTTAGCAAAATTCATAGAAACTACAGTTCATTGTTAATTTTAATTTAGGTGTACGCCAGCGTGGTTTACAATCAACTGAAGAACTACTTCGTGAAGGATCAGTTATGACAGGTATAGGTGAATTAGCAAGAACGAAATCCAAAACACTTACATTACAACCACCATTAAATGGTACACCATTTTATTTAACAAGCATGTCAATTAGTTCTTTGGTTAGGAAATTGGATGAACGTAAACGAACATATAGGTGAGTTGTGTAGTTTATGTAATTCATAGATATTGTTCTCAATCAACTTTTTATATTTTAGATTATTGTGTTTAATGTTTGGTGCTATTGGAATGTTAATTGGTGGAATAGTTTTTCGACGTTATTGGAAAGACAGAACAGAACAAAGATTAGCAGAAGATCTTAGACAATCTCTAGCTGCATCTCGGAAAGAAAGACGACAAAGAGTAAGAGACACTGATCTTAGAGAAGATCAGTTATGCGTTGTTTGTCGTACAAATCCTCGTGAGATTATTCTTCTTCCATGTGGGCATGTCTGTTTATGCGAAGACTGCTCTGATGACATTACTAGCGATTGTCCAGTTTGTAGAGCACCAATTTCACAAAAAGCAGCAGCATATATTATTTAACATTAGTACAAATATAAATTTTTTAAATTATCTTTTTTTACTTGATAAAAATTAATGTTTGTAGAAGTAAAAAAGTAAATCAATACGAAATGATTAAAAATACTAATGAAAGACTAAAATGTACTTTGAACAATAAAACAATTATTGGAGATTCAAAATAATACAAATGCGACTGAAATTATTTGCAAATTTGTATATTTTAATAACATATCCTGAAATATATTTTAAAACATAAGAAATCATCAAAATTCTAAATCTTTTTCTTTAATCTGTTCATTGTCTTTATATTTGTCATTGCATTTGTCTTTTGCAACAGACTCCAGTATTCGTTTAACTTTAGTAGATTTTCCAATACCAAGTTTGGGAAGTCCTCTATTCAAACCTTCTAGCATAATACACGCTTTGCAAATTTCTTGGCTAGATACAAATCCGCAACGAGAACAATTCCTTCGTTCCGGTAGTTTGATACTTTCTTTTACTTGTAATGTTTCTCCTACGAATGAAAATATATTAATCATATACATATTACATAAATATCAAAAAATAATTTTAGCACAATAATTAAAATCTTATTTACCAGAATGAATGATATCCAATATAGAAGAAGGCCTAATTCTCTCTAAATCTTTAAGATATGTTCTTGCATGTCCTCTGTATGCATTTGGTGCAAATATACATTCTGTTGAAAAGTATACCAACTGTTTAAAATACGCATACATTACTATTTCTTTCTCATATGCATATTTAAGAGGTTTGCATCGTCTTATGCAATCTGCTCCTGCCTACATTATAAATAAATATTAATTTTTACCATGTAATATGCCTTTCAATTTTTTTCTCTTTTTTTTCTGAAAACAATATATAACTTACAGTAATAATTGAAGTACATCTTTGTAATCTTGCTACATCACCTCTCAAGATGTTCATAAGAACTGTCTCTGCAATATCATCAGCATTATGACCTGTTGCAATACAATCTACCCCTAAGATAGCTGCACCTCTATCTAAAGCTTGTCTTCGAAATACACCACAAAATGTACAGTTATTTTTTTTGCCAATCTAAAATAGAACAAAAATTAAGTAACAAATTTAAATGATTTTTACCTGAAATTGCTATATATATACTTCAGCCACAATTTCATCCATTGTCCATCCATATAATTCTTTATAAGATAATATTTTTAATGGGAGTCCATAATCATCTTTATTTTGCTGAACAGTTTTTAAACTATCATCTCTGTATCCTAAAATAATACAAACTTGTAATGAAAAAAATTTGAAAGAAAGATTTCAAAATATTATAGCATAATCTTTTATTATAGTACCAGTTATTCCCTCATCAATAGATAAAAGAAAAAGGTCAATTTTATATTGATATCTCTCATTCAAGGTTTTTAAAACATATGCAAGTACTGTAGAATCTTTTCCTCCTGACGCTCCAATAGCAATTTTATCACCAGGTTTAAATAATTTACCCTGCGTAATTGTATTGTGAATCTCACTTTCAAATGCATAAAAAAAGCATTCTTTACATAATGCATGTCCAGTTTTAGGTCTCTGTAATTAAAGAAGTTGCTTTCCTTTCATGTTTTATATTTTTAAATCTTGAGTAACATAATCATTAGACTTACTTTAAGGACAGCCTTTTTCCCACACTGCCTCGAACATGGAATAGGCATTTTGTTGTATTTTAGATTGTTCTCTTTATACTACGAATATTACAATAGAACTGTCACTATGATAATTTAACTTGTAGTTTGTGTTTCTGCTTCCTTTCTTTTATTCAATGAACTCAAAAATCACAGTGTTGTTTGTAGAGGTTATGTTAAAGTTTCATAAAATTTTTTTGAATTCACATTAATATTAAAAAATAATTTTTTATTATTTATACACAAAAATAACTTCAGAATATAACTCGATTGAAATCAATTTTTACGATGTGAAAATAAAAGAAACTTCGTCAGTTTATACAAAAATAGTAAAAGAATTTTTAATCACGTGTACTGTTTAAACAATATACGTAATATGTATTCCATGGAACTTGTTAATCTTCTGGTTTTTCTGGAGGCGGGCCGCAGGGCTGTAACATTTTTTCCATAAGATTGAATCGAACGCGGGCTTTCGCTTCGTTTTCGGCAATAGCGAAGAAATTTAATAGATCGTAATGACCCATATAAGAACTGCATGAATCACGATGCTGATTCACAAGCCATTCAAATTTGGTTGTGTCGGCATGCCCCGTCCCAATGTATTTTGATTGCAAATGTTCCAATTGACTGTGAATGTTATATCTTTCCCCCATATTCTAACTTTTTAATGATAAAGATGAAAATTAAATTCACTTCTATTTAGACAAAAGAGATTCACTTCTATTTAGTAAATTTAATATTTAACACTGTTAATATTCAATCGCCATTAACCATAGATCAAAGATTTATACTGCATCTTAAGATAGGAAGCATGCTTGTCGAAAAACATAACGCACACTTTTCATGTATTTCATAAATTTTTATATAAAATAACAAAATAATGAAATAAACAGGATAATATACAAAAATATATTTTAAGACATATTTAAAATTAATTTCTTAACGATCAATAAGAAAATATAAGAGTGTATCCATCGTGTATTATTCTGAAAAAAAGACTATATAAAAATCAATACTGACTCAATATAAATGACATATATTCTTGTATTAAAATATATAAACTATAACTTTAAAATGTAATTTCGCAATATGTAAAATATAAGCGTATGAAAATATATTACTATGTAACATTTATATTTGTAAGTTTTGTATTTTATATCTACCAATATAAAATATTTTATTCAATAATAATTATATTTATATTTATATATAAACATAATGAAGAAATTTAGTTCAACCAATTAGAATGAGTATAATAATATTTAAGATTATTCCGTAATTTTGTATACTTTATGTTTAGCCGCAAGAGTGCAGCACTTATCGCTTGTTACGTCAGACAATAATGACGTGCTAATGGTTAATGGCTTCTACTTACTTGAGCTATCTTTATGAGAAAGCCAAATACAATCCAAAGAAAATTCATGAGATATGATGCATCGGCTAGTAAAACTATAAAAATATGATTGCCTGAACATTTAATTGTTACGATAGCTATTAATTTTTATCAAATTTTACTCGTGGCCTATGAAATATGTGTTAAAACTGTTTATTGAGCAACGAACGTAACCGTTACATTCATCGCTACATTGGACCAGCTCGATGCAAAGAAATTCAACATTCAGCGTGATATCACAAGATTTATATTGCACGTGAGTACTTATATGGGCCATCAGCTTATAATTCCGTTCGAAACATTAACAAACTTTCTGTCGAGAAAACTGGGCAACTCCCTTGCCACCCAGTCGTTAACAATGGCGGCTATGTTAGCTTGGTCGAAAAATTCTTTTATGCCAAATATTCTTTAAACCAACAAGTTATAAGTTTATACTCGGTAGATCTTTGTTTTTACCTTGAAAAGAAGCCAATTTGTTAATAATTACTGTTTTCCATTATACTCGTCGAAGATTCGTGTTCGGAAATACTGTTACGTCGACTAATTTATGTATATGTACGTGTGCCTTCTACATATGTATTATATGTCGTTGTGTGTGTGTAATATCCGTGATGTTCTGTTGAAAGCATTAAGGAGAGCAAAAATATAATATAATAATTTTCAAATTTTTTTGTTATATCAATTAAAGCTAAAATAAATATTGAAAATACTTGATTTTTTATATGTTTGTATTAGAATTGAACTTTATATTTAACGGAAATTGAATATAAAAAATTGCAATACATTTGCAATATTTTTGTAAGTGAGATTTAATATATATAAAATGCATATTTAAAATTATGCATTGTATAAGTATTACATTGATTTGTGCAAGTATTATTTTGTGAATCCTTATTGTGCCACAAATCAACATTGTTGATTAATGGATAAATTTTATATATCTTATTTATAATATCAAAGTGTTGTTTATTTTAACATAATATATTGTTGTATGTGTTTATGATATAAGCCTTATTAAAACAATAAAATTGTTTAAGTACTTTAGTTAATTACTTCATTAATTTAAATATTTCTGTTAATTCTAACATTATTTATCAATATCCTCTTAACATTTAATGTATTGATAAAGTAAATGAAATGTTATTGATTATTTTTATATATTAATATTCTTGCATTTCAGTAGGTGACATGCCTAGCAGCCGTGATATTGAAAGAGCTGAACGTAATGGAAGATTCCGATCGCGTAGAAGAGGTAGTACCAGCAGTGATATAAATCGACATAGTTTTGAAGCACCTGATAAGAAGCACAGAAGGCATGGGAAAAATAAAAGTTCTGGAAAAAAGAAAAAGAAAAGATCAAGAGATAAGTCCATAGAGAATGTGCCGACTGTAGCTTCTTCAATTGTTAAACCATTGGTTGAATACTCAGATGTGAGTAGTGAAGACTTATCTGAACCAGAAGCTGGAGAAATTCAATCAGAAGACAGTAGAGGTAATAGCTATACAGATGGAGAAGTACCTGAACCAGTTTTACAAAGACGTTATTATGGAGGAAGTCCAGTACGTGCTCTTGGAGCATCTCCTATTAGTCTTTCACCATCTCCACCAGTTCAACATAGGCATACTAATAGACATTATTCACCAAATGAACAACAACCTTCGGCAATGCATGGTGGAACACCTGAATATGAAGAAGAGTCTAGACGATATGCAAGGAGAAAAGAGAAGAAACATAAACGAGAAAAGAAGAAGAAGAAAAGTCTTAGTCCTTCGTCTAGTTCTGGGAAAAAGAAAAAACGAAAATCCAAAAAACATTCTCATAGTCTGAGTCCGCATCGTATTACAGATGAAATTATTATAAGTCCAGAACATGAAAAACCAGTTGGTAATTGGTCAGAATCACCACCTTTACCATTAAAAGACAGTACCTCACCAATATCACCTGCTACGCCTCAAGAACAAAGGTGTTTAAGTGACGTAGAACTTGAAATAACAAGACAACCACGAAATGTAACACCTCCACCGCTTCCTCCAAGACCAACAGAATCTCCCCATACTCCTTTAATACCTCCGAGAACGACAACGCCAGAAAATAATAAAGCAAATTTATCCACAATGAAACAGACTCCTGAAAGACAAAAGCATAGTCCTAGTATTCATACACGACGTAGTAGCATTAGTCCTGGACCCACTATTAGCTCCAATCGCAGGAGACCTCATAGTCCAAGTCCACCGTCAAGACGAAGGGACCATAGCCCAACGAGAAGAAGAGATTTTAGTCCAAGTCCAATGGTGCATAGACTGAGGCATAGCCCTAGTCCTTCCACACGACGGAGAGAATTCAGTCCGAGTCCCGTAACTCATCGTCGTAGAGATCCTGTTAGCTCTCCATCTTTGAAACGTAGACGACGTGATGAATCTGAAAGACGACATAGACATCATGAAAAAGACAGAAGAGATAAAAGGAAATCGAGGTCAACTAGAAGTCCTACTGGAAGCAGGTATATAACATATATATACAAAATAATTCTAAATTATTTATTTCACATTATTTTCTAGGTTGCATTTACCTCTTTCTCGTTCACGATCACGGAGTCCTGGACGATGGCGAAAGTTACAATCGCGATCTAGATCTCGTTCGCGAAGAAGAAGTCGTACTCCAAAAAAATCTCGTTCTCCTAGCAAGTCACATAAATCAGCAAGAAAACACAAATCAAAAAGTCCACGTCCTTCGAGGATACCTTCTCCTTCACCTCATAGACCTAGAGCGAGAAGTCCTTCAAGTATCACAGCAAGAAATCTTCGAGTGCAAGCAAAAATTAGTGAAACTAGTTTATTTGCTGAACTTGTAAAGGATAGAAACATGAGAGAATTAGCATACAAAAAGTTACAGGCTGCTAAGGAAAAGGCTGTCACTCAAGATGAAGTTCAAATTATAGAAGGTACTGATGAGAAAGATGCTAGTAATACATCTTCCGAGAACAAAGCATCCACTGACAATAAAGATAAATATGTGAATCATAAAGATCAACTGAAGACGACAAATGAAAGTATGAAGCCTGTTGATCTTGTGGATATTCCTGTTCCAATATCGGATGATAACGGAATAGCCGGAAAAACACCACCATTGCCAATCACACAAACCGTTAATGCACCAAATGTAATACCTGGAACTAATCAGCATATGATTGCATATACTTCGCCTACAACTACCACTAGCGTTTGTCCAGTGACTGTTACAAACAGTCCTAGTTTCCCTGCCGTTACAAATCTACAAGCACCACCATTGCCACAATCTGAGTCTGCAAATACAGCAGGTTTAGTATCTATGCCAGTGTCTATTCCTGTACCAGTACCTGTTCTTCCTAATTTATCTGTTCCACCACCACCTATACCTATACCAGTTCCAGCACCAAACACGGCTATGTCTAAATTTAATCCTCCTAACAATCTAGTTCCTCTTAAATCAGTAGATCCTCCCAAGCCTCCTATTGTGGCATTCAAGACTAAAAGTTTATCACGATTACCATTACCACCTGGAATTAATCAAAATGATTTAGAGAGTATAGACTCGCCACCGAGTCGATCTCCAAGTCCGCCTAGTAAGGCACAAATGAAATTCTCAACTTCAACTCCAAAACCACCTCAGAAGAAGAGTATTAAAGATTTACCTATGCCACCAGGCAAGTTTGTGGTATAAGAACATATATAATTTTAATATCATTGAAATATTATTTTTATAATTTATTTTATTACTTATATTATTATTTAATATTTAGTTGTTCCTGGCTCAGAAGATTTAAGTGGAGAAGATGATCCAAATGCAACTCCTCCTCGTACGAAAATTGAACGAATTCCACCAAAACCGAAATTGAAGAGACCAAAAATTTTAAAGCGTAGAGGTTCCAGAAATTGTCATACTCCTATGTCGGCTTCAAGCGGTAAAGATTGGGGAGAACGCTCTGTCGACGTATTTGAAGTCATAGCTCAAATAGGAGAAGGTACTTATGGACAAGTGTATAAAGCTCAAGACAAACGAGCTGGTGTGCTTGTCGCATTAAAGAAAGTTCGTCTAGAAAATGAGAAGGAAGGATTTCCTATTACTGCAGTACGAGAAATAAAAATCTTACGACAACTTAATCATAAAAATATCGTGAACTTAAGGGAAATAGTCACGGACAAACAAGATGCGTTGGATTTTAGGAAGGTACTTTATTAAAGTACTTTATCAAAGTATATAATTAAAGCAAACATAATATAGTAAGAATAATATTGCACATTATAATGTTAGGACAAGGGTTCATTCTATCTTGTATTTGAATACATGGATCATGATTTAATGGGTCTTTTGGAGTCTGGAATGGTGGATTTCAATGAAATGAATAATGCAAGCATCATGAAACAACTACTAGATGGATTAAATTATTGCCACAGTAAAAACTTTTTACATAGAGACATCAAGTGTTCTAACATATTGATGAACAACAAGTACATAAAATTTATTATTAATATAATAAATTTTGTATTTCTATAGTTTGATTATATAATTTTCATAGAGGAGAAGTCAAGTTAGCTGATTTTGGCCTTGCAAGACTTTATAATGCTGAAGATAGACAGCGTCCCTATACAAACAAAGTGATAACTTTGTGGTATAGGCCACCTGAATTATTACTGGGCGAAGAACGTTATGGCCCTGCCATAGATGTGTGGAGTTGTGGCTGCATTTTAGGAGAATTATTTTCTAAAAAACCGCTATTTCAAGTAAGAAAATGATGGTAAATTATATGTTCATTAGAGAAAAGAATTGGAAGATGATTATTTTTATTCTTTATTAGGCAAATGTAGAAATGATGCAGCTGGAGATGATTTCTAGAGTTTGTGGTACACCAACTCCTGCCGTTTGGCCATCTGTGATAAAATTGCCATTATGGCATACATTGAAACCAAAAAAATCACATAGAAGACGTTTACGAGAAGATTTTTCATTCATGCCAACTCCAGCTCTGGATCTTTTAGACAAAATGCTGGAATTAGATCCAGAAAAACGAATAACGGCTGCTGATGCACTTAAAAGTGCATGGCTAAAAAATGTTCAACCGGAGCAGTATGTTTTCCTCTTATATTTGAATATGCATATATAAAAAATATATAAATTAATCGTGCAATTTAAAATAGCAGAAATAATATTTACATAAAAATATAATCGAAAAAAAATTTATAATTTTTTTGTATTAAGATTTTAATTGTTATTGCTTACTCATAAGATATGTATCTTTTACATAAAAATTAGGATGCCAGCACCTCAACTTCCTACTTGGCAAGACTGTCATGAGCTTTGGAGTAAAAAACGAAGACGTCAGCAACGAGAACAACAAGAAAGCTCTGCAGGAAAGATGCCTCTTCTTCCTCTTCCAAATAAAGGAGGTCCCCATAAGGCTATGGAAGATCTATCTGATGTTGGGGGGTGAGTAGCTGTAGAGAGACATATTCGCACAAACTGGGACACGATATCCAGTACTGACCAGATACTAATTGCTTACACACGTAGATGGCTGTGTACTGCAGTTGTGCTTGGCATTTATTTTCTTAGCAAAATGCGTTGTTAGAGATCTTAAAGAATGAAAACATAACTGTGTAGTATCTTATTTTCATCGTCCATTTGCATGTGACTTTCAATAATGGATAAAATAAGTTAATTTTAGTTTGATTCACAGTCGTTCAAACACGACGATGGCTATAGTGCAGAACAATGGAATATAGACACGAAAATGTACAACAATCTTCTCTTTTCATGGGTTTACTACAAAGATTTATATTCTACTTCACTTTTCAAATATTTGAAAATATTTCAAATGCATGTATTTAAAAAAAATACGAAATTTATGATGATAGATTTTTTTACAACAAAATTTATCACAATATTTAATTATTTTTTAATAATTGGGAGAAATAATATCATAATATTATATATTAAAATTTTTCTTTTAAAATGATATCAAATATTATTATTTGGAGGATACCAACATTTATGTAAAACACACACCTCTCTCTTGCAATGTGTTTGTGATTTAATTTAATTGAGTGCCTTTAAAATTAATTACATGAGATATTTCTTATGTTTAATAATATTAAAACGATCAATAAATAGATAAATATGTACATATTTGCTAATATATGTACATGTGAACATAAACATGCATACAATGTGACACATTAGTGTAAATGAAAATGCACATATGTACGATTTTGTATTATGCAATTATATATGCATTTACAACAGTGAATGTATATGCATATATTGCAATTATCAATATCTACGATTATATCAGTGTAATACATCTGCAAAAACTAATTTTTGAAATGAAGAATTACACGAAAAACAAAACAAAAAGAAAATGACAGAAATATATAGTAGGTATATGATTGTAAATAAAAAAGAAATTTCGTATGTTAATTTCATATTAATATGTTAATTTCATATTAAACTATTAAACGAAAATATCTACAATCGCATGAAACGATAATTGAAATGAATGAACACTAAGTATAAGTAAATAAACGATCTTTATAATATTTAGTCTTGGAGTGTAAATAGGTCAAATGGATACTAAGAAGAAGCTGTTGGAAGATTGAAGACAATGGAATACAAGGACCCAAGATTAAAATGTGAATGTTACGCGAAATACTAACATCACAACCATCACCATCAATATTTCATTTTGTTTACGTTAATTTAGTTTATTTGGACATTCACATCTATATAAATTAGGCATATTTTAATTGATCATATTTCGCGTATTACAGTTTATTATTCTGTATTGTAGATAATTATTGTGAGTTTCAATATACGAATGGCAGTTTTAAATATTTGTTAAATAGCTTCATGTTTTTGCATGTATTTTGTATGTAAAGCCATTCTTATAATGAAATTCAGGTTACAGATAAACCTAATGTATTATTATCACAATGTAAAATAATATTGAATTTCTGTAATATAAAATATTTACCGAATGTCCATAGGCATTTGCCTAACATTTTTATGGACAATGAATTTCCAATGTTATTAAAATATTTTATTGTTTAATTTGTTTAGTCCCTTTCAATGTTCTACATTTCTATTTATAAACTAAGTAACCATAATCCTTTGATAAAATCATATCTGACAATGAACACTGGGACCTTGGGAATGAATGATAATACCAGTGTACATGATCATGTACCCTTTGAAAACGATATGCAAAATACATGTTATTTTTCTACTTATTCCACAATAAGCTTGAACAGATATTTATTAAATTTATTACTTTAATAAGAATTGTATCAAAATAAATAATATATTAATTTACAAGAATATTCTTTCACATATAGATGAAGTAAAATTTTGCATGAACATTAAATAGTTTTATAAGACAACATAATTCAAGGATTCATGTAGTTTATTTTCACAAATAAGAAATATTTTATTTTGATTTATACATAATTTTTGTTATAAAGATAAACAAGATTATGAATGATTAATATGTGCTACCTTAAAATATGAAAGGAAAACGTTGTTTTGTGATGAATAAGAAGAGGGAAATTAATGTAACAATATAAATCAATATGTAAAACAATTTTCTTGTAAAAACAACAATGAATATATTTTTCACCCTATTTTATTTAAGCAAATGTGTAATGAATTAATAGTTTTATTAGCTTTATTTATATTGGCTTTAAATAAAATGATATATAAAGGAAAACACAACGATTTCCAAATATTGCAAATTATGTGGCATATATTACAAAATCTGTTATAAAAATTTATTAATTGTATAATTAAATTCAAGTTTTTTAATGTTATATTTGTTGTATTTGTATATGTAATTATTATGTAACTGATAAAATATAGGAATATTTTTTAATATATACATACATACATACACATACACACACACTTATGCATAATGAATTACTTTACTATATATTATATACTTACTATATATTATATAAATAGTATACTTTTGGTTATGTGTACATATTATCTCTACTATATATATATATATATATATATATAATGCTATATATAGTAGATACAAATTAAATTAGATTATTATTTATATTCTTGATAATAAATTACATTGTGGAATTTGTAGGGAACAACATAATATTTGAAATACAAAATAATAAATAATTATAGGTAAATACAAATTGGCAAGATATCTAATAAGAAAAACAATTATGTTTCAGGAAGTAATGTTATTGTGGCTGATAAAGGGCAAATTTTATAACACTTATAAGAATATAAATAGGTAATAAATATTCCAAATCTGTATAATATATGTTTATACCCAGGGTGTCCAGTTTAATAATTCACATGAAACTTGGTTTTGTGTATCATATAACAAATTGGGCTTTATGACTAAAATAAAAGCTTAATCGTTTCATGCAAGAAGGTTGAGGATGTAATGAACAATCACTTTATATAGTTTTGTTATATCTTTTCACTTATACAAATATAAGTGATAAGTATGCAATAAATTGTGAAAAATAAAATTTACGGAATATAAATAAAGTTTGATATGCTGTGCCTATTAAATTGCATGTATATTTATATAAAATATTGATTTGTTAGTCTTGCTTGTTCGATATGCACGTTTATAAAACGTATTATCTTTTGCATGATTTCTATTAATTATGAAGCAAATATTACCGTTGGATATCCATGTGTTATTGTCCGTTTTAATAATATTTATATAAATTTTTATTTTGTAGTGTTTTATTAGCATTATTTTATAATTGTCTTAGATGTAATAATATTATATTATTAATATATTCTTTAAATTTTAAGGAACATTTATTCTATTTAAATCATTACAAAAATTATTTTATAGAATTATATATAATATAATTTTATTATTTATATTTACATTTATCATTAAATATATTTATTAATTAGTTGTTTTTATTTAGTAAGATATACATGTTTTGTATTCAATAAATTTATTTTAATGTTTATAATAATGTTTAATAAAACACTTAATCATTATGTTTACATTTTTTATAATGTGTCTTCGACTTGATTTCAGGTCTTCCAAACGTTTAAAAATGGAAGCAGGTTACAATTCTCACCCAAATCGTCTTGATACGGAATCCTACTATGGGGGAGATAACTTGTTCAACCAAAATAGACCTTATATGGTCTCATCGCCATCATATTATTACACAAGTCCTCCACCTGTTACACCACGGCCCAAAGGAGATGCTAGCAGACCTTATATGATCTCATCACCATCATATTTTTATGTTAGTCCACCACCTGTTACACCACGACCCAAAGGAGATACTAGCTCTCACATGTCGGAGTTATACACAGAAGATAATCTTGTTCGAAAATTAAGTGTCCTCACAAATGCATTAAATCAAGGAAAACCAATTCGTGTTGAAGATCTTATGTCACTTCGATCAGATAATGAGGTACATATATTCGAATTTTTACCTGAAGTGTTTCATTTTTATAATTTTATATAATTACTCCAATATGTACTATTTTATAGTACTCCAATATAATATTATTATAATTTAATAGCATAACTATAATTCAAATTGCAGAGTGACCCAAAAGTAGTACAATTACTAGGGGAATTGCATGCTGAACTACGACTTGCAGCAAATTCAAGGTCAAGTGGACTGGTAGAATCTCATCTTCCTGTATTAAATCCGCTATCTATAGGTAAGTTTCATTGTGAATATTCTTTCTTTCTATTTTATATTTGTGCTGAATTATTGTTTTATGTCTTATTTTTGCAGATACAAATGCAGCACAGTCAGGAAATTTTGATGCACATGCAGTTTATGCTGGTGATGATGCAATGAGTTCTGGAAGATGGTCACAAGTGGCTACAGCAGGTGTTCGCAGTGCATTATTAGCGCTAATGTCGCGCTACGGTTTGGAAACTTGCAATCCTTCCCCTGTTATCACCCGACCCCCAGGTAAACCAACATCCAACCTAACGCAGAACCTTTCCCTACCTTCGACTTCCTCTCAGTCAGCATTTAGCTCATAATGATTTGTACATATAACTCTTTACAGCGTTCTAAGCTATGTTCTGTATAAAGTTGGAAAAAAGGTCTAAATTGCTATTTTTTAAATTAACTAGGCATGGAAGTACAACTGCATCCAAGTTGTTTATAGACTCTACTATCTGTTCATAACTGTAAGTGCACATTCGGTGTATACTTGTATATAATTGATGTATTATTAATACGTGACCAGTTACTTAATATAGTACTTGTATCTTTAATAATAACAACATGCTCTTTATAGTATACACTTATGCGATATATGAAATAAGAGCTTTGAAGTATTAATATTTATCAGTTCAGTTTGTTCACGCATAGATTTTTGTTTTCGTATTAGACATTCAATACTTATGTGCATACATGGAAACACATGTACATTTAGAAAGTTCAGACAAAACAAATTATTTGATCAATATAGATACTTTTATCTTTTTCAAAAAAAAAAAACAACTTGTTCTTCAAATATTTAATATTCATTATATACAAGCTTTATGTTAGGTGATACATTTTGTTATGCTTAATGAATTTATTAAAAACAAAAAAAAAGGATAAGTTGGAAAGAAAACTAAAATTCGATACATTTTAAACGTTTATTTGTTGCATAAGCTTTTTTTTTACGTACGATGTTAAATTCTTATTTATTGTGGAAATATTTACGGGATGTAATGTACATAATATCCAGACATAATAAAGAGATAAAAGTACACAAATATAGTAGGATTTTTTTAGGGCAGAAAGGAGAAACTGATTCAATGATGTAAATTCGTATTTATAAATTAAGTACATCATAAATAGATAAATTTGTTTGGTTAGATATTTTACAAAGTTGTCGAACATCTTTTTCTTCTCTTATTTGCAAAGAATAATAAAATTGAAGTTTCTGGAGTTATTTTCTTAACATAATAATAATAATAATAAAAAAGAGGATGGAAAAAAATTAACACAAGTTTCACGAACGTTTCAGATTGAAGTGATTCCAAGAGAAACACGTACACTACGAAAGTGAGGTTAGGACGTGCTTCTATACCGGCAAAGCTGTATATGTGGCGATATTATGGCGATTTGTGCTGCGGTTTAAAGAGAAACTGGCGATACGCTGTAGATTATTCAGTGAAGTGATCAACAGTATGATTTGTGGGAATGAATAATAAATTGTTTATTTTGTTGAATTTGTTCGATTCTATGCACGGTGTGATAATAATATAATATAATAAAAAAAAACGCAACGAATTAATTAACATCAAGTGAAAAGAGGGGCAGGGTATTAAATTGTTAAAAAAAAAGAAAAAAAAATTACCTAACCTCGTTCATTTTACTGATGGCTTTGTCAGATGTTTTACAATTCGATTGTTCAATGGACAATCAGATTGCGCGAAATGCTACGAAGAATTTCGCTGGAATGCTAGGAAAAGCATTCGAACAATATAAGAGTAAGTATATATCACTTGTTATATATTGTTTTTATATCAACAAATATAGCCTTTATTTATATTTTTTTAATTACGAGAAATGTATTACAAATTAGAGAATTATTTTGTACATTTTTTGTATTTCGTTTTATAGTAATATATATTTTATAATAATATATATTTTTGGTCTGTTGATTTGAAATTAGAAAGATAAGATAGAAATAGTTTCTTTATAGTGAATTATGATGCAAATAATGTTTTATGTTATGAATGGAATTTTGAGTGAATTTTTTATAGTCAAATTTTGTACAATATTTACACAACAGACATTTATATTTGCAGAGCTATGGAGCGAATATTTAAAAGTGCTAAAACATTATGAAGGTGTTAACTTTAAGATTCCACTTGAGTTGTTTGAATCAGATATTTTTGATAATAAAGAAGTGTAAGTTTTGGATTTATTGACCTATAATTTTTAATATAAGATTACATTATATATTGTTTAATTTTCTATATTTCAGTATTACACCTGCTATTGATCAAGTGTTAACAAATACAGAAGCATCTCCGCATAAAAGTATTAGTTGTAGTTTTGATAGTACTTCAAGTATAGATAATATTGTTGTACCTAATACATCTATTAATCATCAAATACAAGAAGACAAATTGTTAAAGAGTCCAATACTTATAAAAAAATATTCTAGATCCAAAAAGGCCAATGTTACAAATGATCGATTTAATTTAGAAAATTTCAAGGAAAATAAAATGAATTCGTGCCTACCAATGAAAATAGATACTTCTATTTTAATAAATTTAGAGAATAATATTAAACAAGAGACATCATCTGAGAATGAAAATAAATGTTCAATTATTGAGAATAATAATGATGAGATAGATACATCTGTTACCAAAATATCAAAAAAATTAGGAGTTAGTACGTTATATAATATAAATACCACTTTATTACAAAATGGCAAAAAACTTAGGCAATCAAAACTTATGATTCTTGAAGATGAACAATCAACTAATACCAAAGATCAGAAACACAATAGTTTAAATTTTTTAACAGTACATGTTTCGCCTAAATCTAAAAGAGACATAGAAGGAAAGTTCAAAAATCATAATAATTCTATAGAAGAGGATATAATTCAAAATAGTCCGAATAAACGTATAAAGATGAATTCAAAAATGAAAAATTTAAAATTAAAGAAAATAACTTCAGAAAAGAAAATTAAACAAACTAGCCTCAATTGTTATTTACCATCTCTACAAACATCTATAAAAGAAAATCAAACGTGTTTATTTACAAAGCCAAAAATACTTAATTTTTGTAGTGGAAATGTTAGTAATGATGATAAGATACAAGAAAATAATGGTCGAATAAAAGAAAAAACATATTCAGAAGCAATTAGTCAATTGCTTGATACCAATTCTTCAACATGTGATGATGAAACATTCTATATGTTAGGGGAAGAATTAAAACAAAAATCTGCTTGTGATATAAATGAATTAGAAGGAAATGTATTTAAAAATAAGTCTTCAAGAAAGAATCTTATGAACAGTTTTGATATGTAAGTATTACATAAATGTGAAGGGTTTCCTAAAATATTTATATTATTATTTAATTTAATGTATTTTTTAAAGACCAGTTAAAGAAGAACATATATTTGTTAAACCATCAAAAAAGAAGTCAGAAAGGAAACAGATGAATGGTGTTTCTTGTTGGGAATGTAAACAGGTAATATACAAATTTAATTTTTGTTATATAATATTAATACCATAAATAATTAATTGAAATAATACTATAAATATATACTATACAATAATAATACTATAAATGTGATTTATTTCTTTTGAATACTGTATCCATTCAAGAAACTTTTCTTTCAGTATTACACTAGTCTTGGACTTTCCGAGGAAGAAATAAAAATGAGGCAAAATAAGTGTTCTAGACACAGAACTATGTATGAAAGAAGTTCTACACCTGATAGTAATGTATCTCTCCATACATTCCATAAATCTCTCTAAAAAAATAAAACGATATATTTAAATTATATAAACATTTGTATATTTCAGATTTCTGGAATCCCCTATTTCCTGATGCTTCTTTTAACTCTACTTACCAAAATTGAAGTAAAGTTTGTTGATATAAATTTTAATAAATATGAAAATCATACAAAATAAAAGTACAAATTGTATAAATACTTATAATTTCAGATGTGTGATATGTATAAAATATAGCGTTTAAAAAAAGAAAATAAATCTGAAGAATAAAAACATATTACCTGTATGATTTGAACATAGACTGATTTATTATATTATAACACATATAGTATTACATTTTTTGAGTGTATGTGTAACACACATACACACACACGCACATAGTATAGATTTATATATTATTTCATTTTATATAGATTCATCCTTTTGCATAAAAATATAGAATCTTTTATATGAATCTGTGCTGAAAGAGGCTAATGAAACATATCTTGGTTAAGCAAACTCACGGTTAGTTCACAATATATCACTTTTACTAATTTAACATAAATTTAACATAAAATATAGACTATTATAACTAATGTTTTAAATTTTTTTACTTAAGTTTTTAGAGCGTAAAGCATTCAGAAATGAAAACAGCATTATAAAATTTAATTATTCAACACTATATGTCATTTTGTTTTAAGTTTGTTTTGTAATTTAATTTACTTGCAGTACCTGATAAATAACTGCTTAAATCGCAACTTAATAAAAAAGAGAAAGTAATAAAAATGGAGAAAAAAGCATTTTGTAATCGTACTGCACAATAAAAAGAAAAGAATTTTAAATACAATTTGCTCATCCTGTGAAAGGCTGGATCCACAGTATGAACAATGCTATAACTTTAAAGCAACGACAATGCTTCCATTTACAACTCGTAATATTGACACAGCAATTTGTGCAAATATGTATGCATATATTTTTCCTTTAATATACCGTTTAATATCATTTTCATGATATCGATGATTAAACATTTCATTCACAGGCGTGTTGATAGTAACATTTCCACATGATATTTAAAACATTTAAATTTATATTACGTGGTCGTATTCTAATTCATATTTCACATCGATAAGACATTTTTACAATAATTTTTTTTTTAATAATAACGATACTTAATTATAATGTGAATTATATTGTGCAGCTCGATCATTTTTATTTCTGAACGTAGAAAAAAGATTGAGATAAATAGTGCTTCTTGCGAATTTCTCGCACGAGATTTTATATTTAACGCCTAAAAATTTCATTTCACGGAAACAACAGTCATAGCCGTCTATTAAAATCCATTCTTTTTAGAACATGTAACAATAGTATAAAAATTCTGATTTGAATTTCTAATGTGGAAATTTCGATTCTCGCATTTCTAACATAAAAATTTCAAATGAAATTCTGTATATCAAAGACTTTTCTGAAGAAATTAGATAACAACAGATCAACGAAGTAGATAATTGAACGCATAATTAATTAATATATGACTTAATTAATATGAGCATCAATGTTATATTACACTTGATAGAATTGACTGAGCAGATAGAATTATGTTAATTATTCCACAATATATTTTGGTATTTTATTTAAAGCTATTGTAAAGCACGTTAGTAGAGTTGTCCATGAGGGGAAGCAGCACATTTTTAACTTAAAAGTAAAACTTTTGTAATATGAAATTAAAGATAGAATAAACTATACGAAGACTGAGCTACATAATGAGAGGTAAACATCCATTTCCACGATAAAATAATATATCGCGTTAAAATTTGGTTATTACAAAAATTACTTCAAAAGACAAATTCACAAGGACTCACAGTACAAATGATTCCATTACTAGTTGATATTTAGAATTCCATCAGCTGCATAGCTCAGTCTTTCGAATCCATTTGCTTATACCCGATTATTCAAATAGGCCGTAGTCAAACGAGATGCATAATTAAATATTATAGATTGCCACGTAAACTTCTCTCTAAAATAGTTAATATAATTTTATATATATTTATCTCGTAACATCAATAAAAAAGCAAAATCTTCATCAATTTAAAGAGTTCGATATTTTCTATAATGAAGCATAGTCAAAACATAATAGCTCATTAGAAATTTATAACGGATTTGTACGATGATAGGATATGTTCAAAAGTATTTAGAAGAAGAAAGTTCTAGGGAACAAAAAATGCGATTACGGTCAGCTAGAAATATTTGGCCATTTTTTCCTCTGGTAAATTGTG